CTTGAGGAGATGGTTTCTGTTTTGGAGACCTCAGTAGTAGCACCAGTGGGCATTCCAGAAAGAGAAGCACTTCTTTCTGTTGTTGAGCTGATCTCTTGAGAGGTACTGATCTCCCTTAATTCAGCGGTCAGGGAGGAAGTTGGCTTTGTCATCATAGTTTCTGGGAAGGCAGGAGTTGATGTGGAAACACTTGTATTCCCCAGAGTGGAGGTGGTAGCCATTGGAGATGTGGCTTTTGTTGTCACTAAGTCAGCCAAAACAGAGGAAGGGGATAGATGTTTATAAACCAAGGTCCCTACATTGATCACTGGTGTGTTTGAGGAGGGATGAATTTTCTCTGTATCTTTGGTGACTTCAGAGGTGTCTAATATTTCATCTGAGGTGCTGCTCAAATTTGGAGGTGGACTGGTTTCAGATTCTGAGCTTGTGCCCAACATGTCTGTGGTCTTCACTGGGCCAGGGGTGAGAAGTACAGTCATAGGATGAGGAGAGGAGGAGATGCTCTCTGGTAATGTAGAGGAAAAAGAAGGCGAGGTCATGGCAGGTGAAGACAGTGCAGAAGAAACAGAGCTGGCTTCTTCCACAGAGGGAAGGCTTGGCCATGACAAATCTCCAGGAGTTCTACTCATAAGAGTGGTCATCTCTGAGTGTGAAAATCCTGGAGATGCAGTTGAGTGGGTCCCTGACCAAAAGGTTGTTGAGGTGTCCAAGGTGAGGGTACCCTGTGATGTACCCCCAGGAGAACCTGTCTGAATAGTGATGGCACTTTCTGCTGATTCTGTCATAATGGGGGACGTAGAAAGCCTAGTGATGGCTTCAGTGGAGATGTCTGGTGACATGGTGGACTGATCAGGCCCTGACATGGATATCCCCCTAGAGGAGATCACTTCTGTCCTGGAGACCTCAGTGGTAGCACCACTGGGCACTTCAGAAAAGACAGTGCTTCTCTCTGTGGCTGAGCTGATCCTCTCAGAGCTGCTGGTCTCCCTCAATCCAGAAGTCAGGGAGGATGTTGGTTCTATCTGAATTCTGCTGGTCTCAAAGAAGTCAGAAGTGGATATGGAAACACTAGTTTCCCCCATGGTGTAGGTGGTACCCATTGGAGATGTGGCTTTGGATGTCTCTGAGTCAGCTAGGACAGAAGATTGTGATTCATGTCCAGAACTGGAGGTCCCTATGTTGGTCACTGCTGTGTGTGTGGAAGGATACATGGCTTCTGTATCTACAGTGTCTTCCAAAGTGGACAGTCTCTCATAGGAGGTGCTGCTCAAATTTGAAGTGGAGCTGGTTTCAGGTTCTCTGCTTATGCCCATCCTGTCTGTGGTTATCACCAGGCCAGGGGTGAGAAAAGAAGTCACAGGAAGAGAAGTAGGGAGTCTGGCGATGGTTTCTGTGGAGGTCTCTGGTGACACTGTGAGCTGAGCAAGGCCTGAGACGGATGTTCTGCTAGAGGAGGTGACTTCTGTCCTGGAGACTTCAGCAGTGGCATCAGCAGGCACTCCAGAAAGGACAGTGCTCATCTCTGTGGCTGAGCTGGTCCCCCCAGGGCTGCTGGTCTTTCTCACTCTAAGGGTCAGGGAGGATGTTGGTTCTGTCCGAATTTTGCTAGTCTGAAAAAAGCCAAGAGTTGATGTGGAGACACTTGTATCCTCCACGGTGGAGGTAATAACCACTGGAGACATGACGTTGAATGTCTTTGAGTCAGCTAGGACAGAGGAAGGGGATTCATGTCCAGAACTGGAGGTACCCACATCGGTCACTGCTCTGTTTGAAGAAGGATGAATTTTCTCCATATCTGTGGTGACTTCAGAGGTGGCCAGTATTTCAACTGAGATGCTGCTCAAATTTGCAGGTGAGTTGGTTACAGGTTCCAAGCTTTTGTGCAACGTATCTGTAGTTTTTGCCAGGCCAGATGTAAGGAGTGATGTCACAGGAAGAGGAGAGGAAGAGATGCTGTCTGTTAATGTGGAGGAAACAGGAGAAGGTGAAGTTGTGGCTGGTGAAGACATCAGAGAAGAAGAGCTAGTTTTTTCCAGAAGGGGAGGGCTCATCCATGATACATCCTCAGGACCCCTCTTCATAAGAGTGCTCATCTGTGAGTGTGAAAATCCTTGAGATAGAGTTGAGTGTGTCATTGTCAAAGAGGTTATGCTTGAAGTGTCCAAAGTACTGGTGCCTTGTGTTGTGGCCCCTAAAGGACTTGTGTGGGTGTTCATGGTTATTTCTGTTGATTCTGTCATGACAGGGGATGTAGAGAACCAACTGATGGTTCCTGTGGAGATGTCTGGTGATATTGT